CAGGTGTGGATGTACATCCTCCTCCGCTCTTGGTTATGGGAGAAGAGGATATTCAAGTGGAGAAGAAGCCTCATGGGTATGTGTGCAAAGAGCTCTCAAGAGGAACAGGTTTGGCAGTTGGACGACATGCTTGCTATATCAAGACCACAACTAAAAGACATATGCTTGTCATTCTCATTGTTCAAATTGTTGAGATGTCGGTTCGCAAGGTACGAGTTTGCTAATGCTGGGTCTATGAGGGCCCTAAAGATTTTCTTGATGAGCTTGTTGCTGGAAGATGGCAACCATTCAAGGGTATTTGGGGTGATTGCAGATGAACTTTCTTTCATTCAAGATTACTACTACTCATCACTTCCAGTTTCTTATTCCAAATATTGGTTGCCCATCTTGAGTGTCAGTATCTCACTCTTGAGCATAGGTTACTGCCTTGTCACTACTGGAGACGCGCTCTTTGCCGAGTGCCACACTCGGCAAAGAGCAAACGGCAAAGCCGCATCCGGCGAAGGGTTCTTTGCCGAGTGCCGTTTGTCGGGCACTCGGCAAAGGCTTTGCCGAGTGCCAGGACGGCACTCGGCAAAGAAAATTGGTCGTCAGCCGTTGACGGCGTCTTTGCCGAGTGCCGGGTCAGGAAGGCACTCGGCAAAGCTTTTCTCTTTTTTTTTTGAAAAATCATTTGCCGAGTGCTTTCCTGACCCGGCACTCGGCAAAGAAAAAAATATTTTTTTTTTGAAAAATCCTTTGCCGAGTGCCTAGCTGAGACGGCACTCGGCAAAGAAAAAAATATTTTTTTGGAAAATTCTTTGCCGAGTGCCAGAGTCCTGGCACTCGGCAAAGCTGGGAAACACATGGTAGTGTACAAAGAGACCTGGTAGCGCATTTTTTGGCAGCTTTGCCGAGTGCCAGGGCAAAAGGCACTCGGCAAAGGCTCTTTGCCGAGTGTTACACTCGGCAAAGTGACCAAAAATTTTTATTTTTTTTTTGGTTTTTGCTTTCGATCACGCAAACACAACATATGGCATATATATCACATCCATCACATATATACCACATCCGAACCTTATATGTCACAATCCATCACACATACCACATGAATCACATCCGTTCACCACATGTCACGATAATTCCATCCATTATTCGATTGAGATTCCACATCATTCAACAAGTAGTTCAAATCCATCACCACATGTCACAATAACACATGCATGACAACAACATTGTCTCGGACAGAAATCCAATGCGAAGAGAACAAGACATGAAACTACAAGCGCTACTCATCAAGCGGCCCTTGATGTGGCCATCCCTGCGACGACGACGGGAAAGGAAACATCCAGTCGTTCGAGTGCCACGAGCTGGGTTGTTCGAACCCGCCGACTGAGGCTGCACACAGGAGAAGAGATTGCATGAGACAAGATTAGTTGAATAGCAATTGTAGCAATTCCTTGCATGTGTGACATTACTCACTAGAGTAGCGGAGTGAGGAGACTGAGGTGGACCCATTAACCCAGGAGGCATAACAGCACCCGTCGTAGTTTGCATCCAGGCAATAATGTCCGCCAACCTTTTCTCCTGGGCGAGTTTGTCGGCCTCCCACGCGGCCCGCGTAGCCGCCAACCCCAGCTCCAGCTCCTGGGCCCTCCTGTTTGCTTCTTCCACCTAGGCCTACAAATTATTGCAAAGCTAATGTTACAATAATGCAAAGGAAATAGAGTTGTGTAAAGATCAATGTACGACGAGTAAAACATGAATAACCTGGAGTGTGTCGACCCGGTGCTGTGAAATGCTCGGCCGTGAGCGTATCGCCGGGAGTGAGGAGGCGGTCGTGCTCTGTGCTCGGATCTGGGAGAGAGTAGGAGTAGAGGTCGTGTCGATCACGCTGTCGCCAATCCAGTAGCGGCCATGCTTCTTGCCTTGTCCAATCCTCATGACGGTGTTTGCATCAATGTTGTCGGGTATAGTCCGGCATAAAGCCATGCTTCTAAAGATGTATACCCATGTTGTCCTTCTTTTGCCATTTTCTGTTTGCACACATGCTGCAGGGACACTTCATTAGATGCGCTCTATTCGCACCCCTGCCGAATGCACGGTCCAAGAAAGCCTCGGTCTTCTGCCCCCATTCAGTGCTGAAATCACTCTGACTTCTGTATCCCGTGTACATCCACTCACGATCATCCATCCTCTAAAATAGATATCAACGAGTAACGTAACCATCAACTGCGTCTACGTGGTGTTTCTACTATCTAATAGGTGAGGATAGGTCGTAATCCCACCCGCAGATGTGTAGACGAGGTTAGTTTCCATGGTCTACTCTGAGCCGAGATAGAATTTCGGCAGCACCTCCCCGCTGTTCTCCAGATACACGTCCTGGCAGGGAGAGTGTGTATCCGGAGAACAACACGGAGGTGATGCCAAAACTCTATCTCGGATTGGAGCAGACCATGGAAACTAACCTCGTCTACGCATCCGCGGGCTGTCCAGAAAACGTGGACAATCCGAAACAGATACGGTTATACATATGCAAAGATCTGCATACTTCCAATCGTATCTCTTTCGGACGGGAGACGCCTAACTAGGTTACACCGATCTACGACAACGATAAGGAAGAGAGGTTATTTATACCTAGGGTGGCGGTGGAGTCAGGCTAGCGGGGCAGTGGCGAGTCGGTGCAGTGGCGAAGCGAGGCTGTGCAGGCAGGACCGCAACACCGACGAAGATGATCGGGGTCACCTAGGTACTATGGGTCCCCTCCGACAGGTCCTGCTCTGCAAAACAAGAAACACAACACTATAAGTTGAAAATTTCGGCAGAACCTCCCTTGTACAGGGAGGTTTCCAAAACCTGCAAAAAATAACGGCACGAATGCCGACATTCACAAGGGCACGAAGGCCGACATTCACGACATTCACAACGGCACGAAGGCCGACATTCACGGCACGAAGGCCGGCATTCACAAGGGCACGAAGGCCGACATTCACGACATTCACAACGGCACGAAGGCCGACATTCACAAAGGGACGGTGCATATACCTTGGGCGGTGGCGGGACATGCACGCGCAGAAGAAGACGCTGAGAACTCCTCCTCCTTCCTCCTCCTTCTCCTTCTCTTCCCCTTCCTCCTTCTTCCTCCTTCCTCCTCTCCTTCTTCCCCTTCTTCTCTTCTTTTCCTCTTCTTCTCCTTCTCTTCCCCTTCCTCCTTCTCCTCTTCTCCTTCCTCCTATTTCACCTCTGCCTCCTCCCCTCCAAGAACCGATGGCGAGGGGGGCAGGCGGGCTGGGCGCGGCCCCCACGGGGAGGGGAGGTGAAGGCGGCCCTCCCTCTCCTTTCTCCGACGGCAGTGGGCCGGCCGGCGTCAATGCCAGCCGTGGGCGGGGGAGGAGGGGCGGGGAGGAGGAGGGAGGAGAGGCGGCGACGGGTGGGGCGGGTAGGCCGAGCGGGGGGGGTCACGGGCGCACGGTGTGGTGCATAGCAATGGCGTGGGCTGGGCGGGGCGGGCGCAGGCGGTCTTTGGGGGTGAGGACGGGGCGAGGGGAGGGGGCGCGGGGGTTTCTAACCATCCTACGTGACAACGTGCGCAAAATGTTCTCAAATTTTTACCATAGCCTCCACATGTGATGTAAAGACGCGTCACCAAGTTTCATGATTTTCGAACTTCGTTTGCATTTTATATAATTAAAAAACACTTCACCCGCAATTTTGTCGCCATGTTTCGTGCGTGAGATGCTTGAAAGTTCGGGCGTGCTCCTGGAAACGGCCTCAAAATACAATAAGTAACGCGAATATCATTTTTCCACTCGTCGAATTCCATTATTCGATGCACCTGCAGTTCAAATTTACATTTCCCGGAAAAATACAATTAAATGAAATAAATTAAGGATATATAGCAAAAAGATCGAGAAATGTGCCAAATTTGAGGATGTACTTCAACTTAATGTGTAAGGGCTGAAGAAAAAGTTTGGAGGCAAAAACAAAAAAAATTATGCTTTGCCGAGTGCCCAACTCTGGCACTCGGCAAAGACTCTTTGCCGAGTGCCTAACGGGGGGCACTCGGCAAAGGTGACGGCAAGTACCCCCGTCAGCTCTTTGCCGAGGGCCGTCCTTTGCCGAGTGCCCGGCACTAGGCAAAGAGGCTCTTTGCCGAGCGCCGGTCTTCACCGAGTGTCGGTCTTCGCCGAGTGCCTGGCACTCGGCAAAGAGCTCTTTGTCGAGTGCCCGACATTTAGCACTCGGCAAAGCCGGCGACACTCGGCAAAGCCAGGCTCTCCCGTAGTGTGTGGCTGGATCATTCATCACTAAGGATCTTGTATTGCATTGGGAGGCCAAATATGAGCATCAGATGCGCTGTCATTTATGGTGTAGCGAAAGGCACTTGATAAGCGACATGCAGAGAAAATATTTTGGACCCTTTCTCTTTGATGATGTTCCTTTATTTTTCCTTCTGGCGTTAGTTGTGATGGCGGAGGCGAAGTACATAGCGTCCTACATTTGCTCTAACTGGACCAAGTAGCTCTCATCTGCCACTATATCAGACATTCCTCTTTGCAGCAATCTCTCCGAGTGCAGAAATGGTTTGTCCTTTTGTTGCAGTGCAAATGGGAGCTGATGAAGCATTGGGACGAAAAAATGGGCCAGAGCTCAATATTGGTGGTTCACCCCAGAACAACCCCACTTCTTCTCAGACGTCTCCTGTGTCTCCCGGACCTTAGATAGGAGTGCGAAGATACCAGAAGCAGTGAAGGTATGCATTATCCATACTATGACACATTACATCAGCATTGGGCAACCATTCAGCAATGGCAGAAATTCTCTACTCCTGAGCCGAGTCTGTGCCGAAAGGTTCCTATGGGCCTGCAGTAGTAGCTCCGGTACATCTGATATCATACTTACATGGCACATCGCCACATGCATCCTTGAGGTGAGGCATCCATACCAATGTGGCCAAGAACTGGCCCTATCTGAATTACAAGATTGCTGCTACTCACCTGTCACGCTACTGCACATACCTGATGGCCTGGTCTCCGGATCTGCTTCCTGATCATGAAGAATGGAGCACCAGCCTGTATGAGATGGTGAAGAATGATGCCAAGCGTGCCCTCTCAGGGTGTAGCTGTACTGCAGTGGGACCAGAGGCCGAGTATGAGCAGGTGATCCAGTTGCTGAGTGTCAATTCCAGGCACGAAGTGGTCAAGAAAGGCGTCGTGCTTGGAAGGCAACTGGTGGAGCTGATGGAAGGTCAGGAAATTGCATGGATGGTGCTGGCAGAATTCTGGTCAGAGATGATCCTATACATCGCTCCCTCGGACAATGTCAGAGGTCATTTGGAAGCCATTGTACGGGGTGGCGAGCTGATAACACTGCTCTGGGCATTGCTCTCCCATGTTGGGATCCTGAGTCGGCCCGGCGATGCTGCCGGCACAGCTACTACTGATGCTGCTGCTTCTGCTCGACATCGATAGATTGCTCTCGTTCCATGTATGGTTTGCAGATGCTAGCTTTTACTCTCTTCTTTCCTCCAAATCTTGTCAATTGTTAAACCCTGATCATTGTTGTGTTAGTTGTTGCACCTCTCACTCTCACTGGAGTCGTCCATGTCCATCTCATTATCTCATGGAGTTTGCGTGTACTTTTCTGGGTTAGTCTGGACTGGTCAAACTATAATGTGATGCCTACCAATTATAAAACTTCGTTTGAACTTGTATAATGCATTTTTAATTATTGTTCTCACTTCCCAAGAGGTCAAACGTACTAAACTTTAATAAATATATACAAGAAAATTTAATATTCATGGTACATGATTAGTATCATATATAGGTCGTTAAATTTATTTTCATAATAAACATATTTGAAGATATAAATATTGCTAATATTTTCTACAAACCTAATCATACTTATGAAAATTTGACCAGCCCGAATACCATAACGCACTTAAAAAGGGACAGTGAGAGTACATGACAATAGACAAGCAATACTAACTATGGGACTGTTTGGTTGGAGACCGGGCCATTTTGCCTAGCAAATATTGTTGCCTGAAAGTTGCCTTAAAAGTTGTTGGTTTTTGCCTGGCGAGACACGTGTGAAGAATGTTTGTTTGATTGGAGATCTGTGTCTGAGAACATTAATGAGCAAATATACATAATATCAATGTGTTCTTTAATATTTAAGCGTATGATTAATGTATTTTTATATAGTTTGAATTAAAAATAAAGCCTTTACATTAGTATTCTATCACATTCAATAATTAAGGAAAAATTACTTTTAATGAAAAATCTCCATATGTATTTAATAAAATAATATATATTGCACAATAATCTTGCATGTTGAAAAGTTATCCACGTGTTGCGTAATAATTAATAAATAACTATTTTTTGTTGTCCTATCGATGGTAAAGCAATTCATTAATTAGCGTGAAATTAGGCTTCTTGGTGGGGGTGGATTATTAAATGCCACTGCATTAGCACTAGTTAGGCCTATTCTATGGGAAACTTGGGCTCATATAGCATTTGGGCTCCTCCCAACACTTTTTTTTTGAACAAATCAGTTCCCTACCTCTTCTTTTTTTTATATACTCCTCCAACACTAGATTTTAATTTTCAAATACTGATCTTATTAGCTGCTATAAATTATTTATATTAGAATATTGCGGATAGAATGTCACCAATTAGTGTCGCTATGCCTCGATCGTAGCACAACTTGCCTCGACAACAGCTGGCAGTTAGCGTCTCAGAGAAAAAAAAAACTCAATTAGTTTAAAAATAGTAAACATTTCATTTCGTTAGAACAAGATCTTGATTGACAATTACTCTATTTATATATAACTTATATAACCCAAAATCATAATAATAAGCTAGTGTTTAAAATATGAATCTAGCTAGTAACATCAATTTTGTATTAAATAAATCATGTATAAATAAAAAAATTGCTGGTCAATGTCTTGTCACATCGAAACGAAACACGCCTACTAATTGCAAATTTCAAACGAAGGGAATAGTGTGCAAGGTGTGCGCCCCTGCTACGAAATTTCAAGGGGTTTGGGGTGTCTGTTATCCTGATACATAAGAAAATGTGCAAGTCAGATGCGTGTCTATGAAATTCCAAGAGCATATTTTTTATGAGACAGATCGAGCTGTGATTTAGGTTTAATAATAATTACCTAACAATGATCGTACTCCTACGAACGTACGTGCGAACTGAGTATAGTTTAGCTGTTTAGGTCTTTTTAGCAAAACCTATTTACTTGGGTTTCAGTCATTATCTTGATATGGACGATCACATTTTTCTTAATTTATTCGAGGACTTAATGATATCATTTTTTAATGGTAGAGCGTCAAGTTGTGTGCGTGTGTTCATAGGAGTGTGTTCATAGGCGTGTGCCTGGATACACTTGAGTGTTTCACGGTAGTTTCCACAATCCGATAACACAAATAAATTACGGTGGGTAAAGCGAAGACCCCATTATGCTCGAGTATGTATTGGTCATAGAAAAAAGAAGTGGTTCCTCGTTGTCCAGAAGTCCACGCCCTCTTTTCTTCAGGAACAGTGGCGGAGCTAGAAATTATACATAGAGGGGGTCGAACGACCAAATATAAATAATATAGTATATTAATTTTGGTATATATATAGGGATCAGCTATATATTGAATATGGCACATAAACCATCATCATTAATTATTATAAATACATTGAGTTTGTATGATATTAAAAAATATTATTTTTTACCCGTTAGGGTCATTTAAATTGTCTTGATCGCTTTCTTCCTTCAAAAATATTGAATTATCTCTTTTAGGTATTACTAGCAAATATGTCCGAGCGTTGCGATGGGAGAAAAAAAATCAAGCATTCATGCAAAACGATGACGTGAATTGTACATATCTACTTATATTTTATCATTTTATAATTTATTTTATGATGACCGTGACATCCATAATATAAGTAATGCTAACAATAAATACAAATGTCTTACTAAACCTGTATCAAATTAAAATACACCTTGGTATATTTTTCGTTTCATTGCAAAGCACATAATTATTTAGCTATAAGTATATCATAACTTAAATTTTTCGTAATATCCATGTGTTTTTATGACTCAATATCGATCTTTACAACTTTTTTGATGCATCGTATCAACCTCCGTATTTTTTTTGTCAATGTGTCAAGGATTTGTCTGTCCACCGGTGATTGAGACCTCTCTTGAATTTTTAAATGGCAGTCCTCGTCAGGAATTACATAAATATATTTGTATAGATTTCATTAGATAATAATCTGCGAAGTTTCTGGTTTATGAAATATTTAGTTGTGCCGCAAAACTAGTTTGACATTTTTATGATTTTGGTGAATTTTGCAATATCTCTGTTTTTATAGAAAAGAGAAAAACAAAAGAAAAGGAAAAAGACTTGTATGGGCTTGGTCCAGCCCACAACGAAGCCAACCCAACTGCAAGGATTCAACCCAGGTCAAAAAAGAAACCCACCACGAGAGGCCCACTCGGATCTAGATATTTTGCATCAGGAACCCTAATATATTTCAAAAACTATTAATGTCCTCCCACCTTTTCTTTCTCTCCAGTATCTTTACATCTAGAACCACATATTTCTTTCTATTATTCTCTTCCCTACTCCTAATCTATGTTGGCAACGAGACCAAGATCGAGCCAGTGATTGGGGTGAGGATGAGGCAGAAAAAAAAATTCAGCAAAAATTTTGCCTTTTTATTATTAGGTATAGATGATTATCTTTCAAAAATAAATTAAAAAAGCTTAGGCTGTACTAGCTTACGTGAAATCAGAATTGATGTAACCAGCGTGAAATCAATATGTACTACCAAAATCTTGCTGCATATTGCTTGCAGCTTGCGTGGATGTGCCTGTGCGGCCTGTTGTGCTGCTGCCTACTTCTGGCCATTGGCTTGCCGCCACGGCGTGCAGCCGCCACCTGTTGGACTATGCAATTATAGTGATGCATCGAACAGCCAGTGTCCTTTGATGTTTGATCCTCTGTGTGGTGACGATTCAGTTGTCATCTTGGTCTTGTCATGGGCTCAGAAATAGCAAACGGGCAAACAACTCGATCTGCCATATGTCAGTTAAAGCGTACATCAGCACAAATAACAAACTATAAAAATCTACTGCTGACATTGGGAGGGCCATGGCCCTTGCTGGCCCCCCCTTGCCTCCACCACTGTTCGTGAACATGCGCCGGAGCCACAAGTTTTTCATTAACCTGTACCCTGACCAAGTCACCTCACCTCGTCAACCCCGACAAAGTCACCTCACCTCGCCGCTTCAGCCAGCAAGATGGCCAACGACCTATCCCTGCCTGAATCCAAGCGTTCCCTTCTTCGATGATCTCGTCGACAACCTGCAGAGGCTGTCTTATCTTCAGACACGCGCTTAATTTGTGCGGTGAGATCGATGATGTCTTACTCAATGTCTCTTGAACCCTGGCATCTATCGGAGGAAACTATACACAGAACTGGCAGAAGCAGAAGCATGCAATAGATAAAACCATCAGCCCATACATGTAAATTAAAGCCGTCCAATACATAACCATTCACATCACGAGATATCAATTCCCAGCAGCAGGATTTATCCAAAAAAAAATTTCCCAGCAACAGCAGGCAGCGGCATAGCACAGCTGTAAGTGGAGGCAACAGCAGGCAGCGGCATAGCACAGCTGTAAGTGGAGATCTCTCTTTCTATCTATCAAAATAGGTTTGGCCACTTTTTATGCTTTAATTAATTTTTGTAGGGGCTCCTCCCCTTCAGTTTCATCCGAAACAAAATGGACCAACAAGCATCTGACTCACTGCTGCAATTTTAAGATACTTTTTAAGATTTTGCATTGTACATTTCCATTGGAGCATAAAAGCTAGCTGGGTATACTTATTTCTATGCCAACGTTGTTCTATTGTTGGTGTTTGGCAGTCAGCTAAGCTTATGGCTGGGGTGAATTCCACCACAATATGCTTCGACGATGCTTCGCTGCAGCAATGTTCCTCGAACATTAGATGCTCTCATGAATCAGTGGAAGCCTTCCATACGACCATGGGAGCAACTTTGTGGCAGGTTAACATGCTGGTACTCACTGATGCTGTTCTAGCTGTAGTACTAGTTGCAATTGGCGCCTTCGCGCAGCGGTACCGCCACCACCCCTTCACAAGGTTCATCTTTCTCGGAGCCACTACCTTGTTATTGCCTATTACGTCGTACGTCGTGTCTACAATCAGCACCGACACCAATGATTATGTCAACAACAAAAACCATGCAACTTTGGCAGCATCATGCCGTGGAGGTTTTCATTATTTTACAGCTGTATCATGGGCGTTCCTCATTCAGATCACCATGATCAACACTAGCATAATAGTCGCTGTTGATGATAGGGAAGAAGGTCGCAACAAAGGTCCCCCTATCCAGTTGCTTTTTCAGGGTCTCTGGACCATCTACCTTGGTGTCTATGCCATGGGACCGATTACGACCGATATCTGGCAACTTTACCTTGAATTGATGCTTTTTGCTATCATTTGTGCTAAAATTGTGTTAAAATGTTATGCATTTGTGAAGGCCCGGAAATCCTTTGCATTTGGGCGTAATCCTCGTCTTATTTCTGGGTACATGGAACAACTACAAGAAGTAATTCAACCCAATGGACCATTGGTAGGTGAGGATCATCCTCCTCCACTCTTGGTTATGGGAGAACAAGATAATAATGTGGATATGCGTCCTCATGGGTATTTTGTCAATGCAATTGGCTTAGTGACCATTGACAAGGTTTGGCAGTTGAATGATGAGGTTTTCCAGTCAATGCAACAATTAAAAGACCTGTGCTTGTCATTTTCATTGTTCAAATTGTTGAGATGTCGATTTGCAAGGTATGAGCACGCCAATGATAGATCTGTGGGGACTCCTAACTTTTTCTGGAACTTCTTGCTGAGAGATGGCAACCATGAAAGGGTCTTCCAGGTGATTGCAGATGAACTTTCTTTCATTCAAGATTACTACTTCTCATCACTTCCAGTCTCCTACTCGAAGTATTGGTTGCCTATGTTGAGTGTCAGTATCTCACTCTTGAGCATAACTTACTGCATCTTGGCTACAAGATTCATCATGATGGGCCTCCTGTCGAATTGGAACACTAAGTATAGCCATCAGCTGCGTTGTCATTTCTGGTGCAACGAGAGGCACTTGATAAGCAACAGTCAGGACAAAAATTTTGGATCCTTTTTGTTTGATGACATTTCTTTATTTTTGCTTATCGCACTAGTTGTGATAGCGGAGGTGAGGTACATAGAGTCCTACATTTTCTCCAATTGGACCAAAGTAGCCCTCATCTGCCACTATATAAACCATGCCGCTTTGAAGCATTCTGTTTGCATGAGGAAATGTTTTGGTTTTCTGTTGCGATGCAAGTGGAAGCTCATGAAGCACGGGGATGAAAAAATGGGCCAGAGTTCAGTGTTGGTAGTTCACCCCAGAAGAACCCCACTTGTTCTTCTCAGGCGTCTCCTGCGTCTCCCAGACCTTGATAGAAGTGTGAAGATACCTGACGCGGTGAAGGTCAGCATCTTTGATACTTTACGGCGCTACAGGCAGCACAATTGGCACCGATTGGGCAATGGCACAGAATCTCTACGCCGCAGCCCAGTAAGAAACAGGTTTCTCTTGTTCTGCAGTAGAAACAGCACATCTGATACTATACTTACATGGCACATTGCCACATGCATCCTTGAGTTATACCAACACGGTCAAGGACAAGGTTTTCAGGCCAATTTCAATCACAAGGTTACTGCTACTCACCTTTCACGGTACTGCACATACCTAATGGCCTGGTCCCCGGATCTGCTTCCAGATGATGATGAATGGAGCAAGAGCCTATATGAGGCAGTTAAGGAGGACGCTAAGCGTGCCGTGGTGGGGTTCAGTGCATTAGCACCGGAGTCTGAATACGAGCAGGTGGTCCGATTGCTAAGTGACAATTCTTTAAAGAATGAAGTTCTCAGGAATGGTGTGAGGCTTGCAGAGCAATTGGTGGAGTTGACAGAAGGAGAGGCATGGATGATGCTGGCTGAATTCTGGTCAGAGATGATCCTGTACATCACTCCCTCAGAAAATGTCAAAGGTCACTTGGGGGCCATCGCACGGGGCGGTGAGCTGATAACACTTCTCTGGGCCTTGCTCACACATGCTGGGATCAGGAGTTGGCCTGCTGACGTTGCTGGCACTGCTATTGCTTAGAGCTGATTTTTTTTTTCTGACATCGTTAGGTTGGTTTAATTTCGATGTATACATGGTCTGTAGATCAGTATATGGTTTCTCTGTATTGTGTCCTCCACCTTTTGTACTCTTAAATCTTGATAGTGGCATGTCAATTGCCACTTTTCTTCATTGATGGGGAAGTTGTGGATTCAGCTAGATTCCTATTAATGGGTTGTTATAACTTGTTATATATAGTAGTATAAGCAGTTAAGCACTGAGTCGTCTGTGATCAATGTATTGCTATTGTTATTACTGGTGACAAACTGACAACCAAGGCTAGGTAACTTTTTAATAAATTTCAGTAGGGCTCACAACCCTCCTGTTTCATAAAAAAAAACTGACATCCAAGGCTACCCTATGGTAGTAGTTTTCTAAGGTTAAGCTGCATTTAGCTAGCCTACAGCGGATCCAGAAATGGAGTAAAGGGGGGGCTAAATCATTGAAGCCTAGAAATCATACTAGCGGCACGCCAAAAAAATATAAAAGATGTAACAAAAAATAATGATGTAAAACAACAGATTTGAACAGAACAAGCTTACCTTCTTCGTGAAAATTAACTCAGCTTCCAATTCATCAACACGCCGGCTACATTGAGCAATTCTTTTCCAGTTCGATTTCTGCCAAAATTTCATACGGTTCGTCATATATAAGGCACAAAAAAGTGAGAAAAGGCGAATGGGGTTGTAGACCCACCTGTGACCTGTCAGCCTCCCTACGAAGAAAACCTCCTCTGCGTCAAAACGTCGAAAAGCCAGCGCGCACAATGTCCGCCACCACTAGCGTTTCCCTCGTCGTCGCCGATGCCGTCTGGGCGGAGCCGGAGATCAATTCTACTAGCCAGGCATCCGACGACTTGGCCAGGGCAACTGGCGGCCTGGCCTAGGCCGCTGGGCGCCTGAGCGATCGTGGCCGGCCAGCCGAGGGGCGGGAGCCGGGTGATCGGCGATCTGGCCCTGGTGGGCAGGGGGTAGAGAGCAATCGACGGGGAGCCTCGAAGACGGAGTCGGACCTCGGAGGGCCGACGGTGGGAGCTGGAGGCGGAGGCGGAGGCGGAGGCGGGCGTCCGACGCCGACGCGGACGAGGCGAGCGGGAGGGGCACGGCTCGTGCCTGGTAGCTGACTGGCTGGTGCGGTGATGGGCTGGTGCCTGGTGGTTGCGAGTTGGGCGTGGAGGGGGCTGTTGGGCTGGATCTGAAGATTTGCTCCCTAAATTTTTGGCCCACGACCGGGGCTGCAGCCCCCCTCTGGAATCCGCCTTGTTCATTTTCACCTCTTGTCCTTTTTTTAAAGTTCATTCCTACAAAAACATATATTAAGACATTAGAACTAGAGTCCATAGATTTGAGAAATAAATTCCCAATTGCATGGTTCAAACCACCGAGCGACACAGAAGAGAACTATGCCTACTCCCCGAGGATCTGGTATTCTGGTTCAATGAGGAATCTCCAAATAAAAAAGAAAGAATACAGGTTCCTCTTGCCAACAACAGAACCAGTATAACAAGAATATTTTAGTTCAGGACTGACATAACATCAGCCTAACTGGATGCAGACTGCAGAGTCAATAGCTGATACATGTAGTTTGTTCAAGATAACTAATAGCACAGCAGAAATTTTCTTACTAGTATGTTATCTATGTTGGTATATCTAGTCCTTAAAATATCAATCATTCCAACAGAGAAAGGTACCTGCTACTAGCTAATTTCCACTTCTCAATGTCCAATGCATCCATCCCAACATAGAGGAAGAGGAAAATTTCTGCAATGAATGATAAAGTTGCAAAAGTATGCCTGCAGCACGGAAAGGGAAAATCAGCAATTAGTATACATAATGTTAGAACCATAATTTTTGCTAGAAATGCTGAATCCAGAAAAGACATACTTAGTGGTAACCCTAGAACTTTCTGTCACATTATGCCAAGTGTAATGTGACATTACTATTCCACAGAAGAAGACAGTAAGAATGCCACTCAGGTCCAACAGCTGAAAAATGGAAGAAAATATCAGAAACAAATCTTGGTATTATGTTGTTTCCAAAAGGCTAAGAAACTGAGATCAGTGCATGCTGCAGGAAAATAAGAACAAAGGTAGCAGATCAAGAGAAATTAGTAACTAAAGGTTAAAATTTTAATATAATATCAATACCATATGATTTTAATATACACCCCCCTAAACATTTTCCAAGACTTGCTTATTTATGACGTTTGGAACTTCTTATATTCATGCACTTACCATTGACAGCATGTACGAAAGGTATGCCATGAGTATCATGATAGAAACTTCTCTATCAGTTGAATGTCTGCACATCACAAGCATGAAACAGTAATTTTCAAATGTCTGTTGTTTTGTAGTGTAAAGTAAAACACAATAAACTACCCCACAGAGCCAGAGAGTTGTGTACAGACCTGGCAAAACAGAGCTTCTTGATAATGTACGCACTAAGCAACCCAGTCTGCCATGAAACAACATTATCAGTCAGTCAAAAGAGCCATGCTAAAATCAACAGAGTAGATTTTCTGATTATTTTGGCAGTAGGAAAGTATTCATAAGACGATTCACAACAGTGGCAGTAGGTGATTACTTACAGCTACTCCAAGTATGGTGCTGGTGAAGAACAGGTAGAGAAATTTTCCGACGAAATTCAACAGAACAATAGCATCAAAATTAGCAATATCAAGGTTTTCAATTGCATTGAAGAGCACAACAGATGTGGCATCATTAACAACACCTTCACCAAAAACTAGACTATTGGCGCTCGAGGAGGAGTAAGTCGGGTTCGCCCCACTTGTCCTCTGCATCTCTGACAAATTGAGCGGCCTGCTCTTGCCACAGTTACAGGACAGATGCAACCGTCAGCATTAGTCTCTGCCACGAGGATGGAACATATTCAAATCCTCCATACGGCATCAGGATTCATTAGGCGAAAATCACAGATCAAAGATTTGAAGCCAACACATGGCAATCAGCATATGTACACATTTCTAGCCACCAAACCCGCATGGAGTGAGAGAAGACAGCAAGCACAAGCGCGCAACTGACTTGCAGTGAAATTTTACAATCAGGCAGCCCATGGCTATAGGGAATTTCAACGAATTCTGGCACACCCCTGCATTAAACATTTATTCTCTGGGGTAAGGACTTGATGACCCATATTGTGTTCAGTTATTTTGGTGGGGAAATATTGAGCGTGTCCTCATTACGGAGAAACCTGTTTTCATCTCTATTCGAAGTTGAAGTTATTTTACCAGAGCACTTATTGGTTTAATGTTTTTTTCAGTGCTATATAACCTTATTAAGCTTCAGGATGCTACGCTTGGCATCAGGACCAGTTCATTTTAAAGTTATTTTTATTCCAAAAGCCCAAAACTTTGTGACTGTAACAGTGGTTTTGACTTATCTCCGGTCGAAAAGAAAACATTCATATTTCATAGCATGCAAATGGCTGAAAAAGCAATGCCATGTAAGGCATTATACAAGGGTTATTTTGAAGAACCACTTCTTGCGCACACAAGTACAAGTACAATAATTAGTAGTGCCAATCTACATGTACCTTGTTACCACCGGTTCATCTCCCACCCGAGAGGTCGGTAAGTGTGCCACAACTCACTGTCGTTGCTGCTTTTGACATGATGTATGAATCAAACCCTTCACTTTGCATCAAGAATTGCATACCAAGGGTCAAGCTTTCTGGCATTTGCTCTGGCAACTTCATGTCTCCATCAAGGTATTGCATGACTTGTCGCATGGTAGGCCTAGAATCAGGAATTGGATGGGAACATAGCAACCCTAACTTTAGCACCAAGATGGTCTGGTTAATGTCAAACTCATCTTGTATCCTTGGGTCTACTACTATTGTTAGTAGTCCTTTGTGCCATTGCTCGAGTACCCAATCGACCAACATCGATACTCCGTTGTTCTCTCTGATGTGTTCAACAGGTCTTCGCCCACAAGTGACCTCGAGAAGAAACACTCCAAATGCAAACACATCGGTGGTAGGGGATGCCTTTCCAGTACGCGCCAACTCAGGTGCTATGTAGCCCATGGTGCCAACAACATGCGTGGTTTGCGCATCGATACCATGGTCATACAACTTTGCTAGACCAAAGTCACCGAGTCGTGCATTCATCTCATTATCAAGGAGGACATTGCTTGCTTTAATATCTCGATGGATCACAACTTGGTCCCACTCCTCATGAAGGTAAAGCAATCCTGAAGCGATGCCTTTGATGATATGAAACCTTTGCACCCAATTCAAAGATGGCTTGCCATCTTCAACATACAAATACTTGTCAAGGCTTCCATTTGGCATAAATTCATAAACCAAAAGAAGTTCACCTCTTCTTCGACAATAGCCAAGTAGTGGCACTAGATTGCGATGCCTCATACGGCCGATACTAACAACCTCGGCTATAAACTCCTTGACACCTTGTCTTGATTCATGGGACACCTTCTTCACTGCGACCTCCAGTTTGGACACTGGAAGAACCCCTCTGTACACACTCCCAAATCCCCCTACACCAAGTAGGTGCTTGCTCTTGAAACCTTGTGTTGCACTGAACAAGTCCTTGTATGAGAAACGATGTGGCCCAAACTCGACTTCCCAATCCTCTCGAAGCTCAGCATACTTTAACCGTCTCCACATAAATTGGAAGATGGCAACAACTACCACAAGAATGAATACTGCAGTTGCTATTGGCATGACGATTTCCATGACATTAGAAGAATTCTTTGAACCTTCCTGGGGCAGCTTAGGTAACTTGTCTACATCAATACCTGGAGCAGATTGATTCATAGCAAAGCTCCATCCGAGCACATAGTGCTGTGAATCAATACTCCCTGTTGTCGACGAGAAGCCAACATATGCTTGGTCTATGAGCACTGTTGATAGGTTGTATGTTGTTAAGATAAGTGGCCTCATGGGTTTGGACATCTTGAGAGGAGCAATGGTCACACTCATCTTAGTAGTCACTTCATCATAGTCTACCCACACTTGCATTGGCTCATGGCTATTCAGTGTCATGTTTTGAAAATTACCTTGGCTGTCATAGTACCCGGTGTAGTTGGATCGCACCGAGCGGATGTCATTAACATCGACACCAATGTGATTGTCGCTGATGTCCTGGAACTCAGTATTCTGGATGGTGTCGAGCTCAACGGCAAATATATGATTGCTTGCATTACCCCTATTCTGTCTATTGAAGAGCCCTAGGAATCCCCTTGTACCCGAGGAAGAGAGATTTTTGCTTGGGGAAATGAGGAAGGCCATGCCATGGGAGCTCAAATTTGGCGCGATGGAGAGAATGGCAAACACGAAAGAGACAGAGAAAGACTGCACCTTGCCACCTGGAGCCTTGTGAAACCTCAGCAGCTCAGGGTGGAACGCATGGCCTTTGCGCTCCCCATTGCCACTACTCAGTTGGAGGAGGCCACTGGACGTGATGGTTGCCATTCCTTCAAGGGTGAGGTTGGCACCATTGAACCCACTGTAGATGAATCCGGCATCGTCAATGCTCATAGTTGCCTGATTGATGCCAAGAAAGAGCGAGAGTAGAAGCAACAAGGACAGTGTGTGCTGCATCATTGTATATAGGCTGGAGTGTGCAACGAGCTTAGCTCTGACGAGAAGGATAAACTCAACTACACATATATGGGAGCCCCACATATATAAAAATATCTTGTTGGTGCACTGGCCGAGATTGCACTTCAATTATATATAAATGAAAACTACGAAAATGGAGTCTTGCTGGTGGTTGATCGACCAGTAGCTCTTAGATGTTGCTGTACCTTGTTAGCCAGGCACGGTCGACGTCGACACAGAAAGGACAAGGGAGATTAGAACACGAGGTAGGCTTCTATTTGGCAAGTTGTCATGTGTCATTAAGCGTGGTGATGTTTATTTCAAAAGGTGGGCCCTAGAAAGGCTGACAACCTGAAATGACTCGTGTGGAGTACCTTAATTCCTTAGAATCGAGGGAAGGTGGATGACAGGATTCTTGCTTGTCACAATCATATGTAGGATCAATTCAAACTAAGACAATAACTGCAGTGCTAGCGTCCGGACGGACGAGTGTGTCCGGATGTCCACGGCTGCACTTCGTTTCCCCCGCGCACCTGCACTCCCCCCATGCCAGCACATCCCCGCTGTGCCTCTGTTTTACGCGTCCATGCGGGGCCTGCGCACCCCGGACGTTGCCTGCGCTGTTAAACCGCGTGTAGGGACCGCTCGTGCCACCTCTGCTGTCTGCGCCCGCTCGGCGGCACCCCAGCAGCTACAGCTAGTGGCTGCAGAAGGTGGGTCCCGTTGCATTATGTGCAACACCTGATCTACTTTTAAAACATCTCAATGCAACGTTTGAAACATACGTCTGAAGGCAGATGAAACACTTGAAATATGCGTCTGAAACACTTACCAAAACACATAAAAAACACTTAAAAACCATTGCAAACATACGCAACATCCAGATAAAACACTTGCAACATATGTGTGAAAACATATGCAACATCCAGATAACCGCACTTGCAACATGCATCTGAAAAAAAAACAGTTGAAACATTGAAAACAGAAAGCTTGCAACGTACGTGTACAACCATCGTAATATATGGAACATCCCTATCTACTTTTGCAACATTTATATGAAACTCTTGCAACATACCTATGAAACATCTGAGGCACTTGAAACATACGCTTGCAACATGTGATTTTCACCCTTCTTCTTCCGGATGACGCAGAGCAAAGAGTGGAACGGCTGGTTCTGGCCAGCCGGCGGGCGAGGATGGTGGCACGACCTGGCATTGCCCTGCAACGCCTGTGCCTGGCTTGGGCCCCACCAGCGATGGCCCCCTCTCCTGCGCGGCGGTCGTTGAGCGCATTGGAGAGGGAGGTAGGTGGCCGCCGGCACTCAGATGTGATGGAGATGGAGGATGGAGGAGGGCACGCGGGAGGCGGAGAGTGTGGCGCCGGGGAGCGGCGTGGAGAAGAGCGGGGACGAGATGCAAAGGAAGGCTGCCAGGAGCACCGGCTCGGTGGTTGGTGCGGGAGGAAGAGAAACACGTTCGTTATTTATTTTTAGATGGACCGTGAGGAGGAGCAGGCCGGGCAGGTCCCGCAAGCGTAGGTGAGCACGTCGGACGGACGGACGCCCTCAACCTATCATTATCAAAATCTCATCCTACAAATGCCCCCATTGTGTGGAGTGCATTCGAGGAAAGAGCATGGCTCGACTTGGTGCAATTATACTTGCTAACTTATCCGGTTCGTTTCAATCTAAAAAAAACTGATCCGGTCCATTTTAATAAGCTCTCCTTTTTTTATTTCTGGCGATCTGTACCTCCGGCAAGCTTGTATTTTGCCACTAGATATTTTACGGTCGTTGAGCCTATTATTTCACGGGGGAGTTTCTAACGATCTAAAGAAATCTCACCTAACAAAACCTCCATCAAATCTGTTTGTTTGGGTATCTTGGGTTATAAATAGTCGCCCAGGATACATGTGCCGTGCGTTTCTACTACTTGTGCTTTGCCATCTGATAAGAGACCGATCGATCTGATCAAGGCGTTCTCACTTGTGCAAAGGTACTCCATCAGCTATTAATCTTGCAGTTATTTGTTCCACTTTCATCATTTTTTATAAGGACGAATAACCTTGCTTGTTTGTTTATAATTTTTATTATCAGATGGCATGTGGTCATTTTCCCAATAACCCAATGGCCAGGTCAGGACGGGGAAAGATCATGGCATTCCGGACCACCGCGTTCATGGAACCGGCAGTGGACCACTGCCACTCGGCCCTACAATCGCT